TGTCATTCTTTCCTTATGAGTTTGCTTAAAGTCTTGTTGATTTTGTTTATTTTTTCAAAGAATTAGCTCCTGGATTTATTGATACTTAGCATTGTTCTTTTAGTCTCTATGTCATTTAATTCTGCTCTGATCATTTCCTTTCTTTTCCTTACTCTGGCCTGTCTTTGTTGTTGTTCCTCCAGGTCGTGGTGCTATAGGGTTAGGTTGTTTATTTGAAATGTCTCTGTCTCTTTTTAGGTAAGTCTGTATCACTATGACCTTCCTTCTTAGGACTTCCCTTGCTTTCTCCCATAAATTTTGGAATGTTGTGTGTTCATTTTGATTTGTTTCCAGAAGCTTTTTGATTTCCTCCTTGATCTCATTCTTGAATCATTAATTGTTTAATAGCATGCTATTCATTCTCTATGAATTTGAGTGTTTTTGAGTTTTTTTTTCCTTGTGGTTAGTTTCTACTTTCAATCCCTTATGATCAGGGAAAATGCTTGATATGATTTCAGTTTTCTTGAATTTGTTGAGGCTTGTTTTGTGTCCTGTCATATGGTCTATCTTTGAAAATGTTCCCTGTGCATTTGAAAAGAATGTGTATTTTGCTTCTTTGGGATGAAGGGCTCTTTCTATATATATATCAGTGAAGTCCATTTGATCTAGGGAATTGTTCAATGCTGCAATATCCTTGTTGTTATTTTGTTTGGAAGATCTATCCATTTTTGATGGTGGGGTGTTGAAATCCCCTACTATGATTGTGTCACTGTCAATATCTTTCTTGAAGTCCTCCAAGGTTTTCCTTACATATTTGTATGCTTCTATGTTGGGTGCATATATGTTTACAATGTTTTTATCTTCTTGATGAATTCTTCCCTTTGGTATGATGAAGTGTCCTTCTTGGTCTCTTTTTATGGATTGTTTTGAAGTCTATTTTGTCTGATATAAGCATTGCTACCCCAGTTTTATTTTCCTGTCCACTTGATTGGAACATTTTTTCTAACCCTTCACTTCAGGTCTGTGTTAGGTCTTTTGTTCTGAGGTGGGTCTCTTGTAGGTACCATATGTGTGGGTCATGTTTTCTTATCCATTCAGTTACTATATGTCTTTTGATCTGTTAACATTTAATCCATAAACATTTAAGGTTATTATTGATAGATACATATTAATTTTTCTGCCTTTGTGTCTGCGTTCCTCTCTCTCACTCTTTTTCTTCCTCTTCTTATAGTAGTCCATTAGTATAGATGGCAGGGTTGGTTTACTGAAGGTGTATTCTTTTAGCCTTCTTTTGTCTGGGAAAACTCCATTCTTTATTTCACCTTTCATTTTAATTGAGAGCCTTGCTGGGTTGATTGGTCTTGGTTGTAGGCCTTTGTTTTTTATTGCTTGCAATATTTTTACCATTCTCTCCAGGCTTTTATTGTTTCTGTTGAGAAATCTGCTGCTAGTCTTCTAGGGGCTTCTTTGTATATTACTTCTTGTTTCTCTCTTGCTGCTTTTAAGATTCTCTCTTTGTCTTTAAAACTTGGCATTGTAATTATGATGTATCTTGGAGTATGCCTCTTCTTATTCGTCTTGATTGGGATCCTGTCTGCTTTCTGAACTTGCGTGGTTTTTTCCATCTCCAAATTTGGGAAGTTTCCTGTCATTATTTTTTCAAACAGGGTTTCTATCCCTTGTTCCTTTTTCTTCTTTTGGTGTTCGTATGATTCAAATGCTGCTTCCTTTCATGTTGTCTTGCAGTTCCTTTAAGCTATTTTCATATTTTTTAGAGTCTTTTTGTGTGTGTGCAGCTGCTCTACCTGGGTGTTTCTTTTTACCTTGTCTTCCACCTCATTAGTTTGGTCCTCTGCTTCATCCAGCCTACTTTGTAATTCCTTCTAGTGTGTTTTTATTTCAGGAATTGTATTCTTCATTTCTTCCTGGTTCTTATTTGTAGTTTCTGTTTCATTTTTCATGCTGTTGTAGTTGTAGTCTTCACTCAGTTCCTTGTAGTTGTCTGTGAATTCCTTGATCATCCTTATAGAATTCTTTTGAATTCTATAGCTGATAGTTTGCTTGCCTCCATTTCACTTAGCTCTTTTATTGAGGAGTCTTCTATTTCTTTCTTTTGCAGGTTGTTTCATTGTCTCCCCATTTTAGGTGACTCTTTTTGTTTGTTTCCGTGATTCCCAATGCTCTGCTTGGCTAGCTGTCTTTGTAGGGTGAACTTCTATGGTAGGAGTTCCATGGGACTCAGTGGTGTGGTCTCTTTGATCTCCTTATCTGTATGCTCTATGGTTGCCCTTTCTTCTATTTGTGTGGGCTCTCTTGTTGTGCTTGGGCATTACCTGTTGGAGGGTCCTTTGTTGGTGGGTTCTCTCTTCCAGTGGGTTTACTGGTATGCACTACTTCCTCCTTATCTTGTATATGATCAGGAGCTGGATGAAGACAGTGGGAGTGTTTTCTATGAGATTTAAAGTACCAACAAATAGAAAACAGATAGGATATCCCTTGGAGAGGTCCAGCAACAACTGTGATATTTCAAACTAGCCACTTTTTATAAAAAGTGAAAATGAGATCAGATCCTTATTAGAGGGGGAAAAATGTGAGCTTACTCCAGAAAGCAGTGCACTTTTGTGAGTTTAGATGATGAGATATAGTGAGAGTAAGGGATATAAACATGGCATAGTTTGTGAGAGATTTAAGTTAACCACAACAGTAATAAAGCTCAGGAAGATAGTGAAATGGACCAAGACTGGGGAAGGGTGCTGTATGGGAATTGGAACAACAAAAATATTACAAGAAATATATGATTGTCTGTTTTTAAATGTCCTCTGCAGTCTTTGGCTTCCAAACTTCATATAAGCTGGGATTCCACTGACTGTTCAGTCTGTCCTTAAGAAGACTGGCTAGGTGTCACAGTTGGGTGCACTAGGAAGTGGGTTCAGGTCCCACCTACTTTGCTGCCATCTTTTGTACCCCCCTAAAAAAGGTATTTTTTATTGTTTCAGTGTAGTTTGGGCTAGTCAGGATATATTTCATATGCAACCAAAGGTTCTACTTATAACTTAAGTTGACTAATATTTTTTATTGTTAGCACTATTACACATGTAGCTCCATTCCTCCCCTCCTTTACTCATCTCCACCTAGTCCTCCACCCCAGCCTTTATCATATTGTTTTCTGTGTCCATTGGCTATGCATATATGATCTCTTCCAATCTCCCTCTTTCCCCCCAATCTTGTCAGTCTGTTCTCTGTATCCATGCCTCTGGTTTTATTTTGTTCATAGTGTATTTCATTCATTAGATTCCACATATGAGTGAGGTCATATAGTATTTGTGTTTTCTCTTACTGGTTTATTTTGCTTAGCATAATAATTCTCAAAGCCCATCCACACTGTGGTAGAGGGTGAGAGTTTCTTTTTTATTCACTAGTCTACCGATTGGTACTTGGGCTGTTTCCAGGTCTTGGCTGTTGTAAATAATGCTGCTATGAACATTGGGATGCATATATTTTTTCTGATCATAATCTCTTTTTACTCCACTTTACCTGTCTTAAACTGTTTTACATAGGTGATTATTATGTTACTTGTTATGTAGATATTCCTAAATGTTATATCTTCATTGCTGAATGCTGTTTTGGTTTAATATTGATTTTGGTTTTGGGGTTGCAACTTCTACTTTCTTATGTTTTTCTGTAGCTTTAAAATTGTTGTTCAATTAACTGTTGTCCCTGTTCTTTCCCCATTACTCCCCCCTGTGCTACCCACCCCATCTCTCACATTCAATCCTCTTCCACCCCCATTGTCTTTGTCCATGGGTCCTTTATACATGTTCCTTGATGACCCTTCCCTGTCTTTCAGCCATTACCCCCTTCCCTGCTTCCCTCTGGTTACTGTCATTTTTTTCTTTATTTCTGTGTCTCTGGTTCTATTTTGCTCACTTGTTTGTTTATCCATGCTCACTTATCCACGCTGTTGCAAATGGTATGGTAAGTATGTGTTTGTCATTTTATTTTGAATCACTGCATTTGAAGTGTCTTTTCTGTATGATGTGTGTGTGTGTGTGTGTGTGTATCTGACCACATTCATTGCTTTAGGAATCAATATGAAAATTATTTTCTTTTAATATGCAGTTTATGCCCATATTGATATGCTTGATTCTAAAATGTTAACATGCAAAGGAATCAAATAGAGGGCTAGTTAATACATATATTGCTGGCCCTACTCTCAAAGTTTTTGATGTGGTAATCTTAATTGAGACCTGGGAATTTGCATTATTAACAAATCTGGTTGTTTAGGTCATGGGATTATTATACTTTTTGAACAATTGGTCTAGGGTTAGTGTTATAGAAGGAAAAGTTTAGATTAGCCTGATTTTTATGTTAATTTTTTTCTGAATGCATGTAGTAATATTTTTATTTAATTTATTTCAAAACTTTTATCTATATGTGATAGGAATTTTTTTTGGGCCAAGTGTAACCATTATAACATTAAATTTTCTAGGTGGTAAATATTGATATTTTGAACTATGTGATTGGTTTTTGTACATTTAGTTTTTCTCACAGGCTCCTGTACCAGATCTTTGCATTTTCTGTTAAAATATCAAGTAGCAGTATAATATTTTATGTTTTGATTATTAGACCCTTTACCAGAGCAAAGCTATATTAAAGAAGTAATGTTTGGTAAGACAATGCTTTTCATTATTATACTTTCTTCTATATGAAAAAGTAATGCTCATTAGAGGAATTAAATTTTATTTCTTATATTAAGAAAACATATGAAATTGTATATGTAAATTATTTTGGGGTCTCTTTTATTATAGACCTATAAAGATGGAAAATTTGCTCTTCTACAACTAAGCTATCTATGCAAGATGTACTAAAACTTATCTTTAAATTTTAAAATTATAATTTTATTTTAATAAATTTTACATTTTTGTGGTTGTAAATTATAAGAAACCTGAATTAAATATTTTAATCATAGACATTGTGAAGAAATTTGTTTAAAAATGTTTAATTAAAACTTTATTTTACAGATTTTGGAATCTCTTTTTAAGGTATGTTCAAAACATTACAGTTTAAGTGTACTGAAATATAATACAGAAGAAAATGTAAATGAGATGTTTTTAAGTTTTGAGGAAGTAAAAAGAAGTCCCGAAATTGCTGCTATATATATTTAAAAATTTTATGTTACAATTGCATGTTATATCATCCATATTCTGAGCCCTACAATAAGTGATATTTGGTTCAGTAGTAATATTTGATGTATGAAAATTCTCTCTCTTGGTCATACACCCCCGAACATGTGAATACACATGTGTATTCTTTTACTTTACTTCAGAAATTTAACTTTTCAATAACTTTCTTTTCTGTTCCTTTTTCTTTTTTCCAAAATAGTGGTTTCAACGGCAGGTTAATCAGTTGGAAGAGGTAAATATAACATTTTTAATTGTTAATTAAAACAACATTTTGTCTCATTTGCAAACCATTTTGAAGTATATTAAAATTTTTAAAATAACCATTGGTTATAATCCTGATTTAGATAGAGAAGGAATGAATGGATAGAATGAAAGTGTCTCAGTTGTTTACATACTACATTCCTGCATATATCTGGTATACTCTGAGTTTGGTACATTCTTTCATGTAAAATTGAACAATATAAACTTCAGTATTCTCTCCTAATTTACATAAAAGAACAAGTGACAAGAGAATACTTATCAACTTAAAAATTATCCTATATTTTAAAAGATCATTCACTATATATATGTTTACTATATATGTTCACTATATATATATTGATATTTTTAAAATTTAATATATATTTTTAAGTTGTATATTGATTTTCTTTTTTGGCAGTTTATTATTTATTTTTTTAAATTATTTTATTGTTGTTCAATTACAGTTGTCTGCATTTATCCACCACCACTCCCATCCCCACTTCCCTCCCTTGCTTACACCCCACCTTGGTTTTGTCCATGCATCTTTTTCAGTTGTTCCTGAAAACCCTTCCTTTTCCCCCTCATTACCCCCTCACACCTCCCCTCTAGTTACTGTCAGATTGTTCTTAATTTCAATGTCTCTGGTTATATTTTGCTGGTTTGTTTATTTTGTTGATTAGATTCCACTTAAAGGTGAGATCATATGGTATTTGTCCCTCACTGCCTGGCTTATTTCGCTTAGCATAATCCTTTCTAGGCCCATCTATGCCATCGCAAAGGGTAGGAGCTCCTTCTTTCTTTTTGCTGCATAGTATTCCATCATGTAAATGTACCACAGCTTTTTGATTCACTCATTTACTGCTGGGCACTTAGGTTGCTTCCAGCACTTGGCTATTGTAAATTGTGCTGCTATGAAAATTGGGGCGAATAGGTTCTTATGGATCAGTGTTCCAGGGATCTTATGGTATAATCCCAGCAGTGGAATTGCCAAGTCAAAAAACTGTTCCATTTTTAGTTTTTTAAGAAAATTCCATACTGTTTTCCACAGTGGCTGCACCAGTTTGCATTCCCACCAACAGTGCACTAAGGTTTCCTTTTTTACACATCCTCTCCAACACCTGTTGTTTGTTGTGTTGTTTATGATGGCCGTTCTGACTGGTGTGAAGTGGTATCTTATTGTGGTTTTAATTTGCATTTCTCTGATGGCTAGTGATGCTGAGCATCTTTTCATGTCTTTTGCCCATTTTTTAATTGGGTTGTTTGTCTTCCTGGATTGAACCAACTATATGGGAATACATATTTGCCAATGATACCTCAGGCAAGGGTTTGATCTCCAAAATATATATAGAACTCACAGGACTCTATTCCAGGAAGATAAATTTAATATTGTTTTAATGATTTGTTGTACACTTTTTGATTTTGAGGTGTTTTACCAGCAGTTTACAAACTATTGATTTCTATCCTTAGGTGCTTTTACTTCTGTTTTGAAAAAGACTTTGTCTATGGTGTTAATACAACAAAATGATTTCCAAAGTAGCTTCAGTGATTCACAGAATTATTTTAGTTCTCTCTCGGATATGCTTGTGGTTTAGTCCAATTAAACAGTCATGAAGCTCAGGTGTTTAAATTATATTGAAAATGTTTATTGGGGATATAAATTAAAGAGTAAAGATAGGAATGATATCCTAACACTTTCTTATTATTTTATCTCTGATCCAAGAGTAGATTTTCATGGTATTACACTCTTTGTTTTAGAATAGATATGGCTGACATTGGAAGGGTGTTGGTAGTCATTGTTTAATTGTGGTAGATTGATCATTATCTTTCCAGAGAAGTAGGATTGGGGTGACATTTACTATTCCAACCTACCTCATAGAATAGGTACTTCTTTGCAATTTGGGCAATCCAACTAACCTTGAACATTCTTATTTTTATGTACCAAACTTTTTAAATTCTATTTTTAAATGGATGTGTTTCATTCTCTTGCTCATACACTTAGTTCTGTCAATGTGTGGTACCCATTCAAAAGTCTGGCCTTTCAGTTCCTTGAACTTCTCATCTCTGAAGATCTATGTCCTTCACCTCTGGTCCCACTTCCAGTCATACTCTGGACCTTATCCTTAACCAAATTATTTTACTTTAAAATTTACTAATTCAGGCAATTCATTCTTGAATTAGAAATTTCTGTCCTTTAAATTATTAATTTAAATAGTGCGGTGGCCACAGCTTGATGTCAAGACCATTAGTTCATTTATTTCTCTACCTTCTTGCAGTCTTTTTATTCATCTATCTTTTCCACTTGGAGGTTATGTACTTTGTAACAGTGAATTTCATAACTTCTGACTCTCCTTTACCTATTCATTTTATGTTGTTGTTGTACTTGTCTAACAAAACATAACCCTGGATAATGTAATTATTTACTCTTTGGGCTTAGCTGTGAAGCACTGCTGAAAAAAGTGACATACAGGTCAGAAATAATTTCTCCAAGTATAGCTGGGCAGTTCTACAGCATCTGAAATTAATTTCAACCTTTTTCATACATCATCTCAAATTTATCCACTTCGTCCTATTTTAATTTTCACTTTCACTCAATCACTTGAAATGCTTGAATTACAAGGCACTGATTAAAGCTCTTCCAATTCCTGTTTCAAAAAAACACAAAACCCTTGTTTATATCCATATTCATTCTATCTTCCTGTTAATCAGAGTTCATTGTTTTTCCTCCTACCTAAAACTCATTCTTTTACCTATATTTGGATCTCATCTCGATTTCTGAAGAAATTCGATTGAACAATCTCTCCTTTTTAAAACTTATGTTTATTGTTTACTCTATTACAGAGGTCCCTATCTTACCCCCTTTTGCCCACCTCCATCCAGCTGCTGCCACCCCATCCCTCTGGCCATCACCACACAAGTGTGTGTGTATCTATGCATTATGCATATATGTTCTTTGACTAATTCCTTCATCATTTTTCATCCAGGCCCCTCCAAACCCCCCTCTTCTGAAATCTGTCAGACTGTTCCATGTATGTATGCCTCTGTTTCTATTTTGTTCATCAGTTTATTTAAGTTCATTAGATTCCATGTATAAGTGAGGTCAAATTGTATTTGTCTTTCTCTGACTGACTTATTTCACTTAGCATAATAATCTCAAGGTCCATTCATGCTGTCATGAATGGTAAGATTTCCTTCTTTTTTACAGATGCATAGTATTCCATTGTGTACATGTACCACAGCATTTTTATCCACTCATCTACTGATGGGTACTTGGACTGTATTCTGATCTTGGCTATTGTAAACAATGCTGCTATGCACATAAGAGTGTGTATATTCTTGGAAATGTGTTTGGGATTCTTGGATATATTCACAGAAATGAGATTGCTGGGTCACAAGGCATTTCCATTTATAATTCTTTGAGGAAATTCCATACTGCTTTCCACAGTGGTTGCCAACAATCTGCATTCCCACCAACAGTGCTCAAGGGTTCCCTTTTCTCCACATCCTCTCTAGGGCTTGCTATTTGTGGACTTATTAATGGTAGCTATTCTGACAGGTGTGAAGTGGTATCTCATCATTGTTTTAATTTGTATCTCTCTGATTATTAGTGATATTGAGCATCATTTCATATGTCTATGGGGCACTTATATGTCTCTTTAGAGAAGTGTCTATTCAGGTCCTTCACTCATTTTTACATTTAATTTATGTTCCTAATGTCTCATTAAATGAGTTCTTCATATATTTCTGAAATTAATCCCTTATTAGATATATTATTGACCAATATGTTTTCCCATTCTGTGGGTTACCTTTTCATTTTGCCAATGATTTCTTTTGATGTGCAAAAGCATTTCAATTTGATGTAGTCCCACTTGTTTATGTTTCCTTTGTTTTCCTTACCCTAGGAGATACATTAGCAAAAATATTGCTATGAGAGATGTCTGAGATTTTATTTTTTATTACTTGAGTTTATTTCTAGGATATATGGTTCCACAACTTACATATATCCTATGTAAGTCATTTATCCATTTTGATCTATTCTTGAGTATGGTGTAACTAGATAGCACAGTTTCATTCTTTTTGCATTTACCCATACAATTTTCTCACCATTTATTGAAGAAATTATCTTTACTCCATTGTATGCTGTTTCCTCCCTTGTCAAATATTAATTGACCATAAGGGCTCAGATTTATTTCTGGGCTCTCAGTTCTGCTTCATTTATCTATATCCCTGTTCTTATGCCAGTACAAGGTTGTTTTGATTGCAGTGGACTTACTGTATAGGTTGATATCAGGTACTGTAATACTTCCAACTATGTTGTTCTTTCTCAAGATTGCTGAGACAATTTGTGGGTCTCTTTTGGTTCCATATAAATTTTTGGAATACTTAATCTACATCTATTAAATATACCATTGGTATTTAATAGGTATTGCATTACATTTGTGGATTTCTTTGAATAGTATGGACATTTTAATTATGTGAATTCTTCCAATCCATGAAAATGGTATATGCTTTCACTTATTTGTATTTTCTTTGATTTCTTTCTTCAGTGTTTTACAATATTTTATCACCTTGGTTAAATTTATTTCTAGGTACCTTATTTTTATTTGTTACAATTGTAAATGTGATTGTTTTCCTAGTTTCTCTTTCTGATATTTCTCTTTATATCAGTATATTATTGGCATATAAAAATACCACCAATTTATGAATATTTATTTTGTATTCTGATACTTGCTGAATTGACTGACTAGATCTAGTAGTGTTTTGGTGAAGTCTTTAGAGTTTTCTGTATATAATATCATGTCATCTGTGAAAGACAGTTTTACTTCCTCCTTTCCAAATTGTTTGGCTTTAATTTCTTCTTCTTGTCTGATTGCTTTGGATAGCACTTCCAGTTCTATGTTAAATAAGAGTGGTGAAAGCAGACATCTGTGTCTGTTCTTGATCTTAAATGAAATGTTTTTAGTTTTTCTTATTGAGTATAATGTTTCCCATACGTTTTTCATTTATGGCCTTTATTATGTTGAGATGTGATACCTCTACTTCACTGAGAGTTATTATCATAAATCGTTGCTGGATTTTATCCACTGCTTTTCCATCATCTATTGATATGATATTGTGGTTTTTATCCTTTATTTTGTTTATGTGATGCTTCACATTTACTGATTTGTGTATATTGTACCAATCTTTCATCCATGGGATAAATCCCACTTGATTATGGTGTACGGCCTTTTAAATGTATTGCTGGATTTTGTTTGCTAACATTTTGGTGAGGATTTTAGTATCTATGTTCATCAGGGATATTAGCCTACAATTTTCTTTATTTTTTGTAGCATCTTTATCAGGTTTTTCAATTAAGATAATGTTAGCCTAGTAAAATGAGCTTTGAATCCTTACCTCCTCTTGAAATTTTTGGAATAGTTTGAGAATGATAGATGTTAGTTCTTTGAATATTTGGTAAAATTCACCTTTGAAGCCATCCAGTTCAGGTTATTTGTGTTTTGGGAGATTTTTGATTAGTGCTTCAATTTCAGTCTATACAAGTTTTCTTATTCTTCCTCATTCAGTTATAGAAGATGGTATATTTCTAGGAATTTATTCATTTTGTTCAAGTTGTCCAATTTCTGGACTTACAGTTGTTCATAGTATTTTCTTACAATATTTTTTATTTCTTTGATGTCTGTTACTTCTTTCATTTCTGATTTTACATTTTGGGGTACATTTTACATTTTTATCTTTATGAATCATTTTAAAGGTTTGTCAATCTTGTTTATCTTTTCGAAGAATCAGATCTTTGCTGTATTAACTTTTGTATAGTCTCTTTGTTCTCTATTTTGTTCAATTCTGCACTAATTTTAATTATTTCTATTTTTCTGCTGACTTTAAGTTCCTTTTGTTCTTCTTTCTCCAGTTCTTTAAGATCTAATGTTAGATTGTTTACATGAGATTTCTGTTGTTTTTTGAGATAGCCCTGCAATGATATAAACTACCCTCTTATTACTACTTTTGTCACACACCAGAAAATTTGATATGTTGTATGGTTATTTTCTTTTGTTCCCTATATATCTTTTGATGTCACCTCTTATATTTTTTACACAGTCACTTTTTAGTGGTATGTTATTGAATGCACATACATCTGTGGGTTTTTTACTTCCTTTTTGAAGTTGATTTCTAATTTTCATGAATGTGTTGAGGCTAGTTTTATAACCCAACATATGGTCTGTTCTTGAGAAAGTTCCATGTGCACTGGGGAAGAATGTGTAATCTGATGTTTTGTGATGAAAGGTTTTCTAAATGTATATTTTGTCTATTTTTGTCTAAGGTGTCATTTAAGGCAGATATATTTTTTAAAAATTTCTGTCTGGACAGTGTGTCTCGAGAGGTCAGTAGAGGAGAGTGGTCCCCTACTCTGGATGTGCTTTTGTAAATTTCTCCCCATAGATTTATTTAGTAGAACATTTACATATTTTATGTTTCCTTGTTGGATGCATATATATTAAGAAGAGTTATATCATCTTGATGTAGTGTCTCCAATATTTTTATAAAATGTTTATCTTTAAATCTTGTTACTTTAGTTCGCTTTAAATCTATTTTGTCAGTATAAGTATAGCTACACTTGCTTTTCTGTGGATATTTTCTTGGAGAATGATTGTCCATATTTTCACTTTAAATTTAGCTTTGTCTTTGCACCTTACATGTGTCTCTAGAAGGCACCACATGCTTGGGGTTTTTAAAAATATGTTAATTATTTATTTTAGGAGGGGAAGGGAGAGAGCAAGAGAGGGAGAGAAGCATTGATATGTGAGAGACACGTTGATCGGTTGCCTCTCATATGTGCCCCAACCAGGCACTGAACCTGCAACCCAGGCATGTGTTCTGACAGGAGATCAAACAAACTGATGACCTTTTGATTTGCAGAAAGTTGCTCAACCAAGAGAGTGATACCAGTAAGGGCTGGGTTTTGATTTTTGATTCAGTTTGTTACTCTGGGAATTCACCTCTTTATTTGTAAATTCAGTCCATTTACATTTATTATGTGCGAGGATTTCCTACAGCTATTTTATCTTTTGTTTTCTTGAAGCTCTCCACCTCTATTGGTTGTTTTTGTGTTTTTGTCTGGTGTATTTGTTTGATGGCATTCCTAACTTCCATGCTCTATTTCCTCTTTTATACACTATGAGTCTCAATTTTGTTTTGTTCTTTTGTCTGGGGTTACCATTGGATTTATGAAAAATTAAGTTTCATGTATACAGTAGTTTTCTTGATGCATCTTAACTTCATCACTTTTTGGCTAATTCAGATATTTCCCCCTTCCCGTTTTATGATTTTATTGTCACAAATTATCCTTTTTCTGTGCTCTAAGTTTGTTGTTCATCTTGCTCATAGATTTGTTACCTTTTGTTCTTTATTTCAGGTAGAATAACTTTTTTGAGTATTTTCTATACTGGAAGTCATTTGGTAATGAATTCCCTCAGCTTTTGTATGTCTGGAAAATTCCTTTATTTCTCCTTCATATTTAAAGGATAACTTTGCTGGATATATTATTCTTGGCTGTTAAGTTCTCTCTTTCAGTTGTTTGAATATTTGGTTTCGTTCTCTTCTGGCTAGTAGAGTTTCTGCTGAGAAGTCTGATGATAATCTGATGGGCTCTCCTTTGTAGGTTACTTTTTTCTTTTCCCTGGCTGTCTTGAGAATCTTATCTTTGTCATTAATTTTTTGATGGTTTTAATACAATGTGTTTTGGAGAAGGCTTCTTTATACTGTGGTAACTAGGTGTTCTGTTTGCTTCTTGGATTTGAGGATCTAGTTCTTTCTGCAGGTTTGGGGAGTTCTCATCTACTCTTTGAACAGGCCCTCAGTTCCTTTCTCCCTGTCTTCTTTTTCCAGTATGCCTATTATACTTATAAAGCTTTTACTGATAAAATCAGATAGTTCTCATAGAGCTCTTTTTTTTATGCTCAGATCTCTCTCTTCTGTTTGTGTCATTTCTAGATTTCCATCTTTGATACCACTGATTCTTTTATCCATTTGGTGTGCTCTGTATCCTAGGCTCACTAGTTCATTGTTGATCTCTTTTATTGAACTCTTTGTCTCCAATATTTTTGCCTGTTTGTTTTTTGAAGTTTCAGTCTCCTTGGTGAAGCACTCCTTTAATTCATTGTTTGCTGAGCTTGTGAAATTGTCTGTTTGTACCTTCTTGCATCTCATTGAGTATTTCAGAACTCCAATCTTGAATTCTCCTTCATTTGTGTCACATATTTCTGTGTTTGTAAGCTTGTTTTATTGGAGATTTTTAATATTATTTCTGAGCTGCAGTGCTACCTTGATTATTCATGGTATTTGATGGATTTCTTCTTTATGTAGGCACCATCAATTTGCGAAGGGAATTTCTCTAGCAGATTAATATGAAGAGGTCTTTGTTATATTTTTCAGTAGGGGGGCACTGGATCATAAGCTTTTTTGTTTGTTTGTTTGTTTTTTTTGGTTGGTTGGTTGGTTGGTTGGTTGGTTTTAGCTCTGTGAAATCCCAGGGTAGCCCTGCTGTCTCTGGCTGTCCTCAGTGTACCCATGATGCATTGAGGTTGGGTGAGAACTGGGGCAATGCACCAGCTTGCTGTTTTGCCCTACTGGTAATGGTGACCTTGGTCCTCCTCGGGGTGCTCCCTATGCCTCTGTTTTCAGGAATAGTCACAGAATGTGTCCTTAGCTAAGGGAGAAATGCAATTCTGCCATGCTAGTTCTGGGGCTCACAGATAATGGTCTTTGTAACCCCTACCAGGAGAAAAGGGAGGCACGTTCTGGGAAGCTAAGTGGAGGTGGCCAGGCTCATGGCTTTGTTTCTCCATCTGAAATGCCCATCGCCCAAAAACCCCCAGCCTCACTCTTGTGTTGAGTCCTTTTCCAGGTCCCTCAGCTCAGCTGCAACTCCTGCAGGAGTGCCCACTGAGCATCTTTGTTGCTTCTGGCTGAAGTGGGTGTCAGCCACCATCAGATTCCTTCCCTCTCTGATAAGAGTCCTGCCTTGAGCTCCTGGCTACGGGGCTGCATCCTTGGCTCCTGTCAGCTCCACTCCCCTTTTCGCATCTCTTTTCTGCTCCACTTGCCTACTTTAGATGTTTCAATACATGGAACTCTCAATTACATTTGTCCATTGAGCAGGGAATTCTTTGTTGAGTTAGAGCTATTCAAATATTCAGAACTTCAAGGGGAGACACCAAGGGGATCGCTCACACTGCCATTCCTCTGAAGTTACTTGGAGGCACTCATTCTTGCTGACCTTTCTTTAAGTAGGGTTATTGCCTTTAATACCAATTATGGTCTGTCATCTTATATAGTGGATTTTGCTAATTCTCCCGACTTCTCATTACTTTGTAGATTGGTCTATTCTGAAAAGCGTGAGACACTCAAATGGGTCTTCCATGCAGACTGAGGAATGCCAGCTCTGTAGACCTTTATATATTGATTTCTGGGGGTTAGTATTAAAAGATATTTGCATTTGAGAGCAAATTTTTCCATAATTTATCACAATAAGGGTATTCTTAGCATGGATTTTGAGGAAGCAATTACTTTAAATTATCTTGTGAATAACTTGAGTTGCAGTTAATGCTGCCATAATTGTTATTGCACTTGTTTAAAATTCATATGTGTTAAAATAACAACTAGAAGATTTGGACTTGAATTTTGACTTGTAAAAGTCAACACTTAGCTATAATTCTGTTGATAGGCAATTGTTCATATAAGTATATTTGTATATTTGGCTATAGCTATATAAGAAAAATATAAAATTATTTAGACATGATAAATGAAACAATGGAAGTTCTTTGAAGTAGGGGAGCAAAATGAGTATTTCCTAAGTACCTTGCTAATTTTAATTGTTTTAGGTAAGTAAAGATCAAAGTCTTTCAGAAGCAGAGTTGCCGGCCCCTGATAAAGCAGCCACTCTAAGTGTCACACAAGCAATGAAGTGTGTGCAAAACCTTGAAGAGCTGAAAAGTCACCTTAAAGATGGATTTGAAAGCTCTGCTAAAGTCATGTTATACAAGCCCGAGTAAGTAAAATGTGAGTTTGTAGAATGAAAACATAATTGGGTATGTAACTAATAATGAATGTGAGGTAATGGTTCAGATATTATACTACACATAGAGCTTCTAGGTCAAATCAGAAGGTCTAGTCAGCCTGTTTCTGTTTGAAAACTTTAATAGTTTGAAGTGGCACTGTTTAACACAGTAGACACTAGCCATAGTGGCTATTAAAATTCAATTCAATTCAATTTAATTAAAAATCAATTTCTTAGTTATACCAGCTACACTTCAAGTGCTTAGTAGCTATGGCTACTGTTGGAAAGTTCTTCCAAACATTGCTGGCTTTGGAATATCTGACCTATAAACTTTTTAGTATGACTGAGTAGCCTTCATAATAAATAGGAAACTAAAGTATGATTAAATATTTTATTGTTCATGAACATCATTATTTAAAATTATATAGGGACAGGGATATGTTCCAAAGAATAAATTTCTCCTTTTAGTTGAGAAAAGCCTTTCTTTTTTTCCCCAGTAGGTAGAGATTCAAATGAATGATTATAGTGATACTCCCATTATCTGCTGATGCTCATTTTTATATTTGAGGATTACCTGCCTGGAAATTAAGTAGATGAATAAATCATCACTACAGAATACCTTCTGTGATTTCTTCCCCCTTCACAGAGTTACTATTTGTGTGCATGTTGTGAGAACATTTCAGATCCACTCTCTTAACAGATTTCAAGAATACAGTACAGTAGTGTTATTAATTGTAAACACCATGATGTATGTAAGATCTCTAGAATGTATTAAACTTATAGCTGAAAGTTTGTACCATTTGGCCAACATTTCCCCATTTCCCCCAATCCCCCCAGACCCTGGAAACCACCATTGTACTCTCTGGTTCTAAGAGTCTGACTTTTTAGTCAGACTCCACGTATAAGTGAGACTTATACATATGACTCCACATATGATGTGTCTTTATCTGTTGTGCTTATTTCACTTAGCACAGTGTTCTCCAGGTTCATCTATGTTGTGACAATAGCATTTTGTATTTATGGCTGAGTAATATTCCTTTTTAATATATTTACCATGATTTCTGTATACATTTATCACTGTAAGTTAAGTTGTTTCCATATCTTGGCAGCTATCAGCAATACTGCAGTAAATGAGGGAGTAAAGATATCTCTTTGGAGATACAGATTGCACTTTTTTTTTGATAAATACTTGGAAGTGGGATTGGTGGACTATATGGTGGCAGTTGTTTTTAAAAAAAAAATTTAGGAACATATTGTTACCCCCTTAAGCCTCTAAAATTTACATTGTCAACAGCAGTGTGCAAGTGTTCCCTCTCTCCACATCCTCACCAACACTTATCTGTTGTCATTTTAGTAATGGCCATCCTAACAGGTGTGAGGTGATATCTCATTGTGGTTTCGCTTTGTATTTCCCTGATGATTAGTGATGTTGACTACCTTTTTTATGTGCCTGTTGGCCATTTGTCTGTCTTATGTGGAAAATGTCTATTCATTTGTTCATTTCTTTCCCTATTTTAAAAGCTGTATTTATTTTTTGATTTTGATTTGTATAACTTGCTTATTGTTTTGGATATAAATCCATTATCAGATATATGGTGTACAGATACTTTCTCCCATTCTATAGGTCGCCTTATCATTTTGTTGATATTTCTTTCTTTGTACAGAAACTTTTATATCTGATGTAATTTCACTTGTTTACTTTTGCTTTGCTTTTGTTGACTGTAATTTTGGTGTAGCATCTAAAATATCATTGTCAATACCAATTTCAAGGAGTCTTTTTTTCCTAGTTTTTTTCTAGCTGTTTTATGTGTTCAAACTTACACTTAAGTCTTTAATTTATTTTGAGCTAATTTTTTGTTTGTGTGGAATGAAACAATGACCTTATTTTGTTCTTTTATGTGCAGATATCCTATTTTTCCAGCACCATTTATTGAAGAGATTGCCTTTCCTTTCTTGCATATTATTGACATCCTTGTCAAAGATGAATTGATCGCTTGCATGAGGGCTCTCTCTTCTGTTCAGTTGTTCTATGTGCCTATTTTTTATGCCAGCACCACAATGTATTGATTTGTATAGCTTGAAACCAGGAAGTATGATTTCTCCAGCTTTGATCTTTATGAAGGTTTCATTGGCTATGTAGGCTTTTATCTATTCCATATGAATTTTAGTATTGTTCTATTTCTATGAAAAGTATCATTGGAGTTTTGATGGGAATTGCACTGAATCTATAGATCACTTGGGGTAGTACGGGCATTTTAACAATGTTAATTATTTCATTCCGTGAATATGGAATATTTTTTTTCATTTGTTCCATCATAATTCTGTTAACTTTGTACTGATCTGTTGTAGCAACCTATCTAAGTAAAATTTTTATATTTATAAACAACTCTTTTTGTTTATATTAAATATATACCAAACCTCTTAATTTTATAGTGTCAAAATAGAAAGTGCCCATAATTGGGAGGGACAACTATTTATTTTACAAGTACATTATTGATAGCTTCATTTGCCAGTGATTAGACTTAAAGGGATGAAGGGAGTGGTACATGAGTTGGCTCCCACAGGAGTTTCAAAATAGATCCTTGGTTCAGAGGCCCAGATATATTCTTTTCAGCTATCTGTGGTGAGGTATGAAATTAGTTTCTAGTCACATTTTAATATTAACACCTGAAATTTAATTGTCTGCTGTATGCTAGATATTCTCCTTGTAACTTTTCATGTATCCTGTGATCCTTAGGAGTGCTTTATAAGTACTCTAATAGCTTAGTTTTAGTAGACAAGGAAAGTGAAGTTCAGAGACGTTCAGTAACTTAAGTAACAAGGTCACATAATTAGTAAGTGGGTAAAACAGGTTTTGGGCCAAGTATTCTCACTCTAGAACTTGTGCTCTTAATGCATACACCATTAATAGCACATTAGTAAAAGGATATCTCATGCTTCGACCTATTTTACTTTTGCTATTTTTGTTGTTAATGTTATGGTATACCTAATTGTATTCATGGAACATATAGCATTCATAGAATCACATTGTTTGCCTTTTAAACTTTTTTCTCCCTAATAACTTATTGTCAGTGAGTAAAGGTTAAAGAACATGTTAGAGTTTATTTTAAAAACTGAATATGTATAGAGTGTATATTCTAGTTCTTATCTAAGAATCTTATTCTTTGATAATAAATATGTTTTATTTATTGACATTTTAATAGGAATAGTGAAAATCTACCAGAAACAGTACAAGGTGACGAAAATGTGCTGCAGAAAATTGAAGGTGATATTTTATATATGTTTGCCTTCATAATGTTACTTAAATACACTAATATTTTGAGATGTAAGTTTAAGGGTTTATAGTCATAAAATTATACAACAGTGAATTGAAAAAGGTGTTACCAGAGGGAAGGAAGGGTATAGGGAAGGTAGTAAGAATAATGGGGATCAAATATATGGAGACAGAAGTAGATTTGACCTTGGTTGGTGAACACATAATGCAATATACACATGATGTATCATAGAACTGTACACTTGAAACCTGTAACATTTTGTTAACCAATGTCACCTCAATTAATTTAATTAAAAAGATATTTAATAGTGAGTTTGATATTTTCAATAAAAGTTCTCATTATATTGCAGATTCTGAGAGTATAAAATGACTAAAATTTGTTTGGTACCCCCATAAAACCCAAAATTTACTAAGGGCACAAACACATGATATATTATTTTTCATAGTGTAATGCATGATAAATATTTGTATTATTTGTAGTGAGTCTATGGAAAGGAGCCAGTTTGTTCAATTTGAGGAGTTGTAACATTTTATGGAATCTTAAAACATGAGGAGGACTTAGTTAATTTAAGAAGGGAGGTGTTTGGCACTTTAAGAGGAAGATCAAGTATGAACAAATAGCATGAATGGGGAATTAACAACTGGAATGGTATTAGACCATAAAGCAATAGGTAGAGATATTGTAGAGGAGAACCTAGTCAGAGCCACTAGATGCTGTGCTAAGGAACTTCTTAAAAATTAATTAGTTAGTTAATTCATTTATTTATGTTATATAATAGGGAATCATTGAAGGTTGTTGTGGGGTTTTTTTGTAGGGGAGTGACATCATTGTATTTTATTTTTAAGCTTATTCTAGCCACATTGTAGAAACTAGATTTGGGGTCCAGGAGTATGAAAAAGTTTTTGCTGTATCTTATATGTGTAATAAGTGCCTATATTAGAGCACAGGTAAAAGAGAAGGGGGCAGATTTGAGAAATATGTGCCTTGTCAAATTGGCAAAACGTGGTGACTGCATATGAAAGGAAGGGAGATTAAATGATGGTAAAATTACCTAAGAGAATATAAGAGAAAAACAAATTCCTTTGAAAAAATGATGAGTTCATATCACACAATACATATTCTTTCAGATATTACCATTGTTGCTTACTTGGGAGGATTTATGGGTTGGAAGCTTTATTTTGACTCCTATGAATTTTTTCCTCTTGAATGAGTTATTTAGATAAAAATTTCATAATTTAAACTCAATACATATCATTGATATTTGAAACTTATAACATCCACTATTATTTCAGAATTTATAAAAACCCACTCAGCTATAGGACTTACAGATATTTCTGAAACTGAACCACGTAAGTTTTCAGTCATTTAAGCATTATTGTGTTAAAAACCTCTGTTGAGAGCATTAATTTCTATAATTTTTTATAATTTTAAAGCAGTAATTTTTAAGTTACAACATAGATTCCCTGTATTTTGGAGTCATACAATTCAGCTGGCTATTAAGCATGTATTGAAATTCCCAGCTGAGGCTACATTTTAGTAAAAATAGGCTCATTTTTTAGGAAGACCATGTTATTCTTTGAAATGGAGGATTTTTAGTTGTGATTAGAATATTCTAATCAAATGTTGCAGAGATGGCAGGCCTTTAAGGTGGAGCTGTTTGGAAGTTAAGAGTTTAGTTTTAGATTTTGCTACTGTTCATTACAGATCATCTCATAAACAGTAATGGTGCTGGTAGGCACCCTGCTGTAGTCAAAGCTGCCAGAACCAGTATATTAAACTTATGACAACTTGTCAATGGGAAGGAGAAATGTTGCTTATGTTTAATACTGGAGAGAATTTGCAACAGTCATGTAATTTATGCTATGGAATACAGTTTAGAAGTAAGCAATTAGTTTGGTTGGAAAAAATCAATTGGTATCCTTATACTCTTTCAACATCAGCTTTAAACCCTTATGTTGCCTTGTTTAAAACAAGAGCAGATATACATTCTACAGTACTCCAAGGTTGTATAGAGACTTCTGATCCAAGAGATCCCTGTCTAGGTAAGATGGAAAGGTATCTAGAGCTTTGGAGTGGAGAGTGAAAGCCTCTTTCTACATCAAACTGCATGCACATCTATGGGGCTCGTGCACTCTCAATCTCTAGTACTGTGCCCTTTAAATTCTAGGTGTCAAAACTCTAAGCTTTCTCTCTGAACTCAAGAAGAGTCTTTTTGGGTTCCTCTTCCTTATGCTGTAGCCTAGAAACTTTAGGCATTAAGCTGGGGTGATCATCATAAGGCATTTTTTCTTTGTTTTTCTTCTGTCAGGGATTACTGCCTTGTTCTTTCTGTTTTCCAGTGTTTCATTGCTGTTGAATTTATTTTTGTCCAGTTTTTTTCTTTTTAATCATTTAAAATTAATGTTTAAATACAGTTGCCTCCATTTTCCCACCACCACTTTCCCCTGCCCCATCCTGCCCATCTTCCACCTTAAATCCTACCCCCGCTTTGCTTTGTCCATGGCTCCTTTGTACATGTTCATTGATGAACCTTTCCCTTCTTTCCCCTGTTATTTCCCTCCCCTCCCCATTCTGGTTACTGTCCCTTTGTTCTTAATTTCAATGGCTCTAGATATGTTTTGCTTGTTTGTTTGTTTTTTTTTATTTAGGTTCCACTTATAGGTGAAATCATGTAGTATTTGACTTTCACTGCCAGTCTTATGTCACTTACATAATGCTCTCTAGTTCCATCAATGCTGTTGCAAAGAGTAGGATTTCCTTCTTTCTTTCTGCTGCATAGTATCCCATTGTGAAAATGTACAAGCTTCTTGGTCCAGTCATTACTGATAGGCACTAGGTTGCTTCCAGCATTAGGCTGTTGTAAATTGTGCTGCTATGAATATTGGAGTGCATAGGTTCTTTTGAAGTAGTATTTCAGGATTCTTAGGTACAATCCCAGCAGTGGAATTCCTGGGTCAAAAAGCAACCCATTTTAGTTTTTCAAGGAAATTCCATACTGTTTTCCACAGTGGCTGCACCAGTCTGAATTCCCATCTATAGTGTACTAGCATTCTCTTGCCTCCACAACCTGGCAGGCACTTAATTGTTTGTTGAATTTTTTCTTTTCTTTACTTTCTTTTCTTTTTTCTTTTACATTTCCTATACTATTCTTTTTTGTGTTTTTGTTTTGTTTTTATTTTTAAAATATATTTTATTGATTATGCTATTACATTGTCCCATTTCCCCCCTTCACTCCCCTCCACCCTGCACACCCTCTCCCACCTACATTCCCCCCTTTAGATCATGTCCATGTATCATACTTATAAGATCTTTAGCTTCTACATTTCCCATACTATTCTTACCCTCCCCTGTCTATTTTCTACCTACCATCTGTGCTATTTTTCTCTGTACCTTTTCTCCCTCTCTCCTCCTCCTACTTCCCTGTTGCAAACCCTCCATGTGATCTCCATTGCTGTGGTTCTGTTCCTGTTCTAGTTGTTTGCTTAGATTGCTTTTGTTTTTGTCTTAGGTGAGGTTGTTAATAATTGTGAGTTTGCTGTCATTTTACTGTACATGTTTTTTATCTTTTTCTTAGATAAGTCCCTTTAACATTTCATATAATAAAGGCTTGGTGATGACGAACTCCTTTAACTTGACCTTATCTGAGAAGCACTTTATCTGCCCTTCCATTCTAAATGAAAGCTTTGCTGGATAGAGCAATCTTGGATGTAGGTCCTTGCCTTTCATGACTTGAAATACTTCTCTCCAGCCCCTTCTTGCCTGCAAGGTCTCTTTTGAGAAATCAGCTGACAGTCTGATGGGAACTCCTTTGTAGGTAACTGTCTCCTTTTCTCTTGCTGATTCTAGGATTCTCTCCTTCACTTTAATCTTGGCTAATATAATTATGATGTGCCTTGGTGTGTTCCTCCTTGGGTCCAACTTCTTTGGGACTCTCTGAGCTTCCTGGACTTCCTGGAAGCCTATTTCCTTTGCCAGATTGGGGAAGTTCTCCTTTATTATTCGTTCACATCACTTTTCCACTTGTTGCTCTTCCTGTTCCCCTTCCAGTACCCCTATAATTCGGATGTTGGAATGTTTAAAGCTGTCCTGGAATTTCCTAAGCCTCTCCTCATTTTTTTAAATTCTTGTTTTTCTGTTCTTTTCTGTTTGGTTGTGTCTTTCTTCCTTCTGGTCTACTTCATTGATTTGAGCCCCAGTTTCCTTCCTATCACTATTGGTTACCTGTACATTTCCATTTATTTCACTTAGCAAGCCTTCATTTTTTCTTCTAATTTGCAACCAAATTCAACCAGTTCTGTGAGCATTGTGATCACCAGTGCTTTGAACTGCATCTGATAGGTTGGCTATCTCTTCATCACTTAATTGTATTTTTTCTGGAGCTTTGATCTGTTCTTTTGTTTGGGCCATTTTTTTGTCTTGACACACCTGATATGTAGTGAGGGGTGGAGCCTTAGGTGTTCACCAGGGCAGGTCAACTGAGTCACTGCATTGTGATGCTGTATGTTGGGAAGAGGTCCGATAGGGAAAAATGGCACTTACTCCACTCTCTGCTGGATTTCAGTCACTTCTGTTGCTTCTCCCAAGCAAACTGGGCCCTCCTGGTGCTGATTCCTGTGTGGGTGGGTTTGTGTACATTCTAGGATGCTGTGGGTCTCTCCAATGAACTCTCCTGTGGGGCTGAGAGTATCTCCCAGCACCTCAATCCCCACAGGTGTTTTCAATCAGTGTTTTGAGGATTTATTTCCCTTTTCTGGGACCCTGGGTTGTGTGGTCTGTCTCGATCCCCAGTTTACCTAGTTTATCTGCACACAAATGTGGGACCACTCAGTCCACCAGCCACCTTGCATGCTGCACACCTCCACAATCTGCCACCATGTTGGGTCTGCCAGCTTTTGCCTTGCGTGCCCAGAGTCCGCCAGCTGCCCTGCTGCGAGCCCTCTCCATCCCAGCTCCCCTACTCTGACCATCCTACCAGTCTGGATAAATGTGTCTACTTTAACTCCTTTGTTGTCAGGCTTCCATACAGTTCAATTTTCTGTCAGTACTGGTTGATTTTTTTGTTTCTAAATTGTTGTTGTCCTTATTTTGGTTATGTCAGATGACACAGTGTGTCTACCTATGCCTCCATCCTGTCCAGAAGTCCGTTGAGTTGTTTCTGATGACCATTTTGATCAGTGTGAAGTGGTATATCATTGTGCTTTAAATTTGTAAGTCTCTGATGGCTAGTCATGCTGAGCATATTTTCATATTTCTCCAGGCCATTTGTATGTCCTCCTTGAAGAAATGTCTGTTCAAGTCCTTTGCCCATTTTTTAATTGTTTTTTTTTGTCTTCCTCTGATGGAGTGATGTGAGTTCTTTATATATTTTGAACATCACCCCCTTGTCCAAGGCATCATTGGCAGCTATGCTTTCCCATATAGTTGGTTCTCTTTTCATTTTAATGCTCTTTCATTAGCCATGCAGAAGCTTTTTATTTTGATGAGATTCCATTTGTTTATTCTTTCTTTTATGTCCCTTGCTCTAGGGAACATATCAGTGATAATATTTCTACATGGAATATCTTAGGTTTTGCTGCCTATGTTCTTTTATGAGACTTTCATGGTGTCACAACTTATATTTATGTCTTTTATCCACTTTGAATTTATTTATGTCTATGGTGTAAGTTGGTGATTGAGTTTCATTTTTTTGCATGTAGCTGTCCAGATCTCCTAACACCATTTGTTGAAGAGGCTATTTTTAACTCCATTTTATTCTTCTACCCACTTTGTAAGATATTAGTTGGCCATAGAGCCTTGGGTTTATTTCTGGGCTCTCCATTCTGTTCCATTGGTCTATGTGTCTGTTCTTATGCCAGTACCAGGCTGTTTTGAACATTGGGCCTTGTGATACAGTTTGATATCAGGTATTGTGATCCTTCCTACTTTGCTCTTCTTTCTCAAAATTGGTGCAGCTATCCATGGTCATTTATGTTTCCATACAAATTTCTAAAATGTTTGTTCTATATCTGTGAAATATGCCATTGGTACTTTAATATGGATTGCATTGAATCTATAAATGGCTTTGGGTAGTATGTACATTTTGATGATATTAATTCTTCCAATCCATGAACATGGTATATGCCTTCATTTATTTGTGTCTTCCTTAATTCCTTTCCTCAGTGTTGTATAGTTTTCTGAGTACAGGTCTTTTGCCTCCTTGGTTAGCTTTACTCCTAGGTGCTTTATTTTTCTTTTTGTATAGCAAATGGGATTTTTTTTCTAATTTCTGTTTCTGATATTTTGTTGTTGTTTTACAAAAATGCCCTCTATTTCTGAATAGTGACATTGTATCATGCTGTTTTGCCAAATT